GTTGCTTAGGAGAGCTTAGAGTTCCAGGCAGGCTGCAGAGGTTGGAGGCAGGTTGTTGCATGTCAGGAGAAGGGCCAGGTTTGTTCTCATGTCAGTCCTTTGAAAATAAACAACCATGGTGGGGAGGTGGGGGAAAAGAAAAAAAAAAAAAAAAAAGAGAGAAGCTTTCAACAACTCAAACAGTCTTTCAGGCTAGAGATTGTGGCAAAATGGTCACTACCTATTGCATAATACAAAAGATGGGTGCTCATGCCTGTGAATTTGGACAGCTGAAGAATGACACCTTAATATATTTTAAACTCTTACCATGGGCCTTCATGATATGGATAGGGGGAAAGAAGTCTCCTTGGTGTTTGTCATGTGCCATCTAGAACCTTTTCTTAAACCCAGCATTAATACCMTTGTTGCAGGCCTGGCCTGGCCCAGACCAAATTATGCCCCGGTGTCCTCAAGGYATAAAACTTTGCCCAAGAACTACAAATTCAGGAGGAAAACACAAACGAAATCTAGGTGCATGTACAAATCAATCAAAAATTATAGACAGTTATGTAGATAGTTGAAACATAATTAGCACTTTTCACATGTGAGGAGAGCCTTAAGCACTTTCCAACAAAGTCTGAGCATGAACTCAATTCTCCCTTTAGAGGATATGAAGAGTAGAGAAAGGAACACGGGGTTCTGTCAAGACCAGGAAAGTAACGAGATGTTAAGGCAAAGGGTCAGCATTTTTGCTTTGAAAGTCCACTAGCAGCTTAGAGGGACCAAAATTACAACTGTAAAAACAATGAGTCATTAAGCTTTGTGTTTATTTTTACAGCAATGCCCTAGAAAGTTCAAAATAAATTTTGAGTTAACTTTCTGCATTTAAACAGTCTGTGAAGCTGTTTACCAGAGGTTTTAAAAGTTCATTGAAAGTGACAAAGCAGTTTCTTTAAGTCCACCTTCACTCATCGAATGTCAAAAAATGCTTTTGTTTCTTTAGTGGGAAGAGCTGAAGACAGGCAGGTCCCCATAACCAGACAAGAGACCTCTGAAACCCTTTCCCACCCCAGTGGTCCCCCATCATCCTGCAAGGGCATGGAAGAAACCTAGACTGAAGAGCACCCAGAGACAAAGCACCTGCCCTGTTCTGTGCCTCCRCATCACATTTAGCATATATACTGGCAGGACAATTTTGCAGGTGAAAACAGCAGGTAAAAAGTCACCTGGAGAACCAGGTAAGTGACCTGGTCTTCTGGAATCCAACTCTCACAGCTCTTCATCATCAGCTCCTCCACTACCTGTGACCAGAACCTGCAGGACACATTGGTGTCAGAAAGCCTGCAGGACACACTGGTCCTCAGGAAACATCAGCCTCGCTTCTTTTATGTCTTGAAGGACCACAGGTGTGACCCTTGCCTGAGCACACAGGCCGAAAGCAAGCATGCAGCCTGACACAGTGAGTTGTGCACTGTTTCATCAAAATATTTCAGCATGGAAATCAAATCCCTCTGAGCAGGCATATCCTCACAAAGCTGGTTTTACTGCCTTTGTCACAGGGAAACCAAATCCACCAGACTCCACCTTCCAATGCTTCCACAGCTACATATAACAAAATATGTTGTGTGGAAAAAGCAACAAATATGAGCCTGGCACAGAGCTCAGACCTGAGTGAAAGCCTAGTGCCAACTGCTCCGAGTGCAAATCAGTCATACAGCACGGCAAAACTTCAGGGGGATGGGGGGGTCAACCCCCCAAAAATTCCAGTGCTGATCTAATGAACTTCTTTGGAGCTTAACATATATTATCTAGTAGTATCTCACTCCCACTCCTCTCTCACTGAATCCCAGTGAATGACTGCAAAGACAGGACTATTTGGAAACGCTCTGAAAGATAAGATTAATTGCTTTTGTACATTTTTATCTTTGATAGCAGAGTTGTAAATATTCCCACTCGACATACTTTCTAGCATCACTAAATCTTCTGGCCACAAATTCTCAGAAATGCATTTTTCCAAGCATCTGACCTGTGCCTGAGAATTTTATGTCTTTCATATGCTCAGCCCATTCTAAAAAATTATATGTATATATAATAATGATGATGATGATGATGATGATGGTGATAAAAAAAAAAAAAATTAACAGCTTCTCAGATTGGACAGCTAATTTCAAGCCTATTCATACTCACACTGGTGCAGACACCATGAGCAGTATTCTGCCACAACCCATCCACAGCCTGCCCTCAGTATCAAGCACCTTCTTCTGCCTGTTTTAAGACAATCCTCCTCCACTAGTCTAAGTCAGAAAGGAGCATCAAAGCAGTTGAAAGTTTTGCTTTTGCAGAAACTGTAAAAATTCCTCTTGACTTGCAGAAACTGTAAAAATTCCTTGATTGCCTGACAGAACTGGACTCCAATCCATTTTCAGAGAAGACAGGTAACAAAACAGTTGTGCTTTGAGAAACAATTATCAAAAGCCCTGTTTTTAGAAACATTCCCAAAGCCTCAGAGCAAGCAAGTTCATGGCATGACCTCAGAAAAGATGCTCCCCTTCAATAGCAGGAAACAATAGTGATCTGGGTGCTCCACTTGGACACTGTAACACCTAATGAGCAGTGAAGCAGAGGAGGAACATGCCAGCAGAAGGGAATTCTCAGTGCTAGGGTAGGTATCACATCTGCACAGTTCAGTCTCACTGCTGCTGTGACATCTCAGGGTCATCTCCTGGCTCCACAGCCCACCAGTCACCCACAGCCCACCTCCCCAAGGCCTGTTGGCTTGTGCTGTGACATCAGCTGAGCTCCACAATGGAAATTCCTGCAACAGCCCACAACAGATCCAAGAGCCCTAGCAGCAAGTACAATCTTGGAGAGTGAAGGAAGAGGGAGTGGGCAGGAAAAGTATGGAAGACAAAGGGGAAGCATTACCTTTGACCTGGTTTTGTCTCCACTGTTTTTATGCATAGAACTGGTGTTCCTGCCCTGGCAATACTACTCTGTCTGCCTMGGTGCCAACAGCAGGGCACAGCATAAACATGTGGCCCTGCCAAACAGATCCTCATCTCTGAGAGAAAATGAGCAAAACTGAGTATCTGTGCTACTTTGAAGCCCTTTCTTAGCACAGGATACAAAATCATGCCATCCTATCCTCATCCTCCCCAGCCCAATCAGACTGGTGCCTTTTGGTAGTCAYGTGTAGTATCCTTCAACAGCAAATTCTCTTGCTTCTGGGATCACCAGGAAGATGCTTTCTCTCATGGCTGTGGCCCAAAAAGTTCTCCATCCACCCCATTCCCATGGACTGCCTCATTGTAGTACRTGTCAGGCCTGCAGGGGCCAGGATACACGAACTGCACTCACAGCCCAGCCCAACAAGCACACACCCCACTGCAACAGCCCTCCCAGGCCAGCTGCACTTGCACACGGGATWTTCCAGCCATGCTTCACCTCAGATCCCCTGCCAGTACTGCGTACACATGTCCTAGAGCAAACACCTGAAGCAGGGAGCTCATGCTTTGCASAGCCTGCACAGACAGCCCTGCCGCGCATCACTGCAAGGTTCCAATCCGAAATGACAGATTCAGGACCACCTTCCTGCTCCRGGACATCTAGAGCTAGGCAAACTTGATCAGGCTGTGGAGCACAGCCTGCAGGGAAGACAAGGTTATGTGGGCTGGGRCATTTCCTGCTCCCTCAAGCACGGATGAGAGCAGCCTCCTGYCTCTGAAGTATCTCCTCAGGTAAACACCACCCCATGGGACACTCTGGCTCTGGGGYTTCCGGGCTCTTTGCCAAGAACTGGCACCTATCCCTGTCTTCAGAACAGCCAGACCCAAAGAGAAGGTGGCTGTCTCCTGTGCCCGACAACCCCCAGCTTGCACTGATCAGCCATGGATCAGTTTCCTGGTGGAGTCGTCCACTGCTGAGCTGCACAAAACAAAGCACACACAGCTTCAGTCACTTACACTTMTCCCACTTCACCAAAAACACCGAGGTCTGACCAGTGCACAGCTTGCTCCTGGGGAAAGGCAACAACTTGGACATAATTCTCCACTCCACCTGCCACCCCTAAGCCAWACACACACTTCCTATTGCATCTACCATCATCAATCACAGCTGCCATGGTAGATGCACACACCACAGCCCCGGCAGGTARCAGGGAGAATCCCCAATCCAATGGGACTTCAAGGACATGGTACACAAAACTGTTACTGTTTCAATCACCTTCAGCACACCAGCCAGGCTCAGGGCAGCCATCACCAAGGCCACCCCTGCCACAATATGTCTCTACACAAGCTCCCACGATGGCAAGGAAAWGCAGGAAATAAGGTGTCCATACTTCTATCGGCCCTTGGTGACCACCTCTGGATACAGGTCATGCAAGTCCTCCTCCCTTCACTATCAAGTTAGAGGCTGGCCACTCTCTTGCACCTGATGCAATACCATTTTCCAAAATGCACCTATTTCATCTCAGTGTCCCAACAAACATCCCCATTTGCTGAGAAAACACCAGTCTTGCTTCCCAGCCTGCTCCAGTAACAGTGTACACTTACATTCATGCTGTATATGTGAGYGCTATCAGTCCCTGTGTGGAGAGACAGAAAGGGAGCACAGAGAGAGATATCTGGAAGCACTGAACAGCTCTTCTCTTGCTGTATTTCTAGCCAAAGGCACCCAAAAGGCTGTTAAGGCCAAAGTGGAGACTGTGGCCATGTGTGCAATTGGACATCAATGGTGATGCAAACAGAGAGGTAACAAAGGTACAGTGCCTGCAGAGTTATCCAGCGGGACTGTGACAGCCTGCAGACAGCCAGCTCAATTTGCCTYCATACTAGGAAGAAGGCACAGGGAGTAAGAACACTGGAACAAATCAATGTGAGTTCAGCAAGAAGTCAAGCCTGCACAGGTAAARAATTTTAGCAGGTGCAAGCATTAAACTCATTCTTTCCCATTGAGAAACCTAAGCCATACACTGTTCAAACAATTACACCATGTTATTAAAAAAACACCTTCACAGTTTACACTGCATGTACATAAATAAAGAATTTTTAATTTTTAATAAAGAAAAAAGATGGTGATTGATTAATCCACAACACATCATCCCTTTCTCTGAGCCAAAGCTGATTTTATTTGCCTTTCTTCATTTTTGCAGTCTTTTCTTTCCTCTTCTTCACATGCTTTGGGATTTTGTTTTTTCTCTTTTCTCTTTGGGCTTCCTTCACCATCTTTTTCCTTTCCTGTAAAGAATCAAACACCATTCATTTAAAGCCAGAAGGAAATGAAGGATTTTAAGCAAGTCAATCATTACATTAACAAGTCAATTAATACATGATACAAAAATAAGGTTATCAAGCTAAAGAAATAACAAAAATCAATAGGAATGGTGAAGGGGAAAAGAAAAAGGAAATACAAGTTGRGGGTGGAGCCCAGACCTACACACTGGTAATGACAAGGTAAAATTCAAACCAGTTAAAGCCTGAGTTTCATGCAACCTTCGAGGACAGTGAACAAGAGGCACTCTTAAATCATGCTATTTACACCTAAGATTACAACAGGCTGCCTGGTCTAGGTTTTCTGCCACCCATGGGGCTACCATAACATATGTTTCTATGTGCCATGCAAAAATGTTGACCCAGTAAKTGCTGGTAACTCAGAGCAAGCTGATCATCACCAGGACTGGCATGAAAGAATGCCATGCTACTGCAACACAACRTAAATCTGTGTCAGACACAGAAGGGACAACACTCAACTAGAAAATAAAAGGCAGCAAAGTGGAAGGGGCAGGTAGAAGTAATTGCTGTTAATTGGTTGTTCAGCTTACAGCTAAACACACAGGTTATAAAAAAACCCTAATTTTATGCAAAAAGGAGTCCAAATGAAAACCTATCAATTGGGATAAGAAGTGGCCAAGACTTCCTGGCTTCACATCTGAAAGGCAGTAGCTCTAGACTGGTAGTGTGTAGTAGACACACTGCATTTTTATTCAACAGACATGAAATATATTATCTTACCTTTTCTAGGAGGAAAAACCTAAAAAGCAATGCCCCGAATCTTGAACCCCATAAGCCCAGCAAGATTCACCCTTCTTTTGTCATTGCACAGCACCTACAACGCTGCCAAAAGACTCTCACCCATGAGAGTGATACTCTGCAGAAAAATTACACCAGAACTGAGCCTACTGTTCTGCAGTTTAGAAAATGAAACGTTAAAATACGAAAAAGAACAGACCCTAGCCATAATGCATGACTGCATTACATCTTGCCCACAGCAAAGCCCGCACCCTGTACTAATGGTACTGCAAAAGCCACTGTGGTACAAAAAATGTCACCAAGTCTCCAGTTCTACAGACCAAGTGGTCTCAGCTGCCTGGGCATAAGGAGATTGATCAGGGACCAAAACCACAAACCTGAACACCAAAGCCTGGAAGAGTAGCCAGAGGGACTGAAAAGCTGCCCAGGCTTCACTGCATTCTACTTTGCACATCCCTGTGGAGATCTGTGGAGATCTCTCTTCCAGCTTTGCCTAGGCCACAGAGAGCTGTGTTCCACACTGCTCTACATAAAATCACCATTAATAAAGTATCCCCAATGAAATTCACTGTCTCTGCTCTCATCCTCCACAACAGAAGTCCACAGCTTGTTTCAGACAAGAAGCAAGAGCCATTAAGTTTGGATTTTTTTGTGTCACATAAGCAAAGGTGGGAAAAAATAAACAGTTTCTGGGCAGCTGACCTTTTTGTCTATGCTAACTTCAGCAGGTTTATCTTTGGGATGTACAGATTCTTTACAGCCTGAATCAGAGTCCTCTGAGCTGCCACCACYACTGTCATCATCATCACCATCATCATCATCATCAGAGTTTGTTTCTGAATTGTCGGCCTTYTCAAGAAGTGCAGGAATCTGCAAGATATATCAATAATTATATCAAATCWAAACTGAGGAACCTAATGACAATATACATACATATATGCACTATATATATTCATAAAAAACAAAACAGAATCTGCTGCAAAGAAACCCTTGAGCAATCTGATGCTATCTCCCTTACTACAGCCCTCACTGAGTCTCAAGATAAARAATGAAAAGTAGGTTAAGGCAAACAAAGAACAAGGAATCTAGAATGTACAACACAGATTCTTTYAGGTCAGGGCTCAAAGCACAGCTGTTATTTGCACTCCCAAACTAATTTCCCTAAGTTAAACGGCAATTTGCTAACATATGGGGAAGCCTATTTTTAATTATCTTTGGCTCATACCCCAATCTACCTTGGGGGCACTGTATGTATTCTATATTGCAAACACAAATTCTATATTGCAAACACTGGAACACTCACTTATYCTTAAATAAGCCTGAAAACTGTGCTACAGCTGATCCCACCCATATTTATAYTTCCATTTTAAATCAAGAGTCTACACTATTGCTAGAGAACATTCACAAAGTAAGGAGGGGGAATACACACAGATCTTCTGCCTTGAATTAACCATGGCACCAACTGATCTCATTCAACTTCTCATTCAATGCACTTTACAGAAGTGAGACTGTCAAGTACTTCAAATATAATAAGACATAATATCTTATGCCTTATACTGGAGGACTGTTCTATATGCAATATTACAACAAAGATACCCTGAACATATCAAAACTTWCAGTCATGCAACAGTTTAAATCAATTACTTTTTCCATAACCAGAAAACACTTCATCTCCATCTAACTTTAGAGACGATGGCCACAGCAAGATTATAATTTCATTCTCAAGCAACCCAGCATCAGCCACAGTGCAGGCATGCAATTTCTCTGTTACGCAGACACATTGCCTTGTCACCATGAAAGAAGCCTTTTGTCTGCAGAGTGACCATTTGTCCAGGATGGGTTTGGCATGGCATTCTCTCTACTACCTGTAAGCACTTCCCTGAAAATGGCTAAAATGAAGGATTTCAAAAAGACCCTCTCACCTTCTGAACACCAGACAAATCCTTCTTCAGTCCTGTCACAGTCTGGTAGAGAATCTACTCCAAGGGAGAGAGGAAGAAATTATGTTATCAAATTATGTCATAACTCTTTGTGCCTGGAGAAAATTACAATCTAAAAATAAWTTTAAAGAAACAAAGACCAGGATAAAACCCACAACTTTAACATTAGCAATAACCAGATAATTTTGAAGTACGATACAGATTCAGTACTCCACAGTTTGGTCGCAAAGCTTCTGCTTTTGTTTGTTGCTATCAGTTTCTGGTAAGAATAATTCATATTCCCTCTCTTTTTTTCGCATGACTTCAGCATGTCTACTCACATTATCTTGCTGAACATTCAATGCCATATCCTCTTCTTTCAATTTCATCATTATGTCCACATCCCTCTCATAGTTTTTAACTTCAGTCAGAGTTCGAGGTATGTAGGCCTTCTTGAATACCTAGCACAGTGAAAGGAAACACAGACTTACTAGTTTACATACAGTGTCATGATGGTTTTCTTTCCTGATTATGCATCCTTGAGTGAATAATCACAACCAGAGAAACAACAAATGAACATGCCAGTCATCCACTACCATTTCAACTGCAGAGTTACTTTTTATTTGGTCTTTTTTTTTTGTTGGAGCAGACTTAACATGCAACATTATTGATGGATCACAACTGACAAGGCCCCTTTCTTAGGGTGATTCACCAGCCCTCTTTCAAAATTCTCCAATCATTCCAGCTGTCTCTTAGCCTATTTGAATCCTAAGGTCCTTTATTCTAATAATTTTCTAATGTGTTTGTTGTGATGTTTACAATGCCTTCAGGCGGCAACTCCATTGAAATGCAGTGCTGGTACTTAATCTCTTTATATAAAAACACCTGCTTCAACCTACAGTCCAATTCAAAAAAGGTTCCTGCAGCACTAAGTAAAAACTTACTGCAGCAACAACAACCTACTTTGAATTTGTCACATTTGAAACAGTCTTTCAGCAAGTTTATAACCCTACCAGATCAGAGAGAAGTGTTTTGCTTCTCTGTTTCAGGGTATCAGTTCAATCCCAGTACAAATTCCATACACTCTGTGATCATCACTGCTCATCTRAACTGTGCATAAAGCACAGGCCCCACTTCCATAGAACTGCCCTTAATCAGCTCTACTCTTTTGTGAAGGAAGTGGCACAAACKATCCATGGCCACATGGGAAGTTTAAGAGAAATAAACTGAACTTGGATGCTACAAAACCACCTCTCTCACAGGTCAGTACCTCACATAAACAATGAAGTAACTTGTTTGCAGAAGATGGGCTTGCTACAAAACACTATCCTCTGACTCTATAGCTCAGTAGTTTTATGCTGAGGGTACAAGGGGAAACRAAAAACATCTTTCCTTGGCCAAGCCTGATGTACTTAGTAAAACCTGCTGAGCTCCAAGACAAAAAAGTCTTGAATAAATCAAGCAGTATTGGCCCCAAAGATAATAARTCTTTCTTGGTTGTTGGTTTTGGGTTCTTTTTTTAACTCTTCTGGAAAATACAGTTAAGACTAAGATAGAAATGGTTCTATCTTTASATCAAGCACTTCCAGAACATTGGCAACTTTTTGTAATGGACTTGAAATGGCTTCACTCTCAGTGAAAGCCATGAAAGAACTGAATTAGACTGGGGCTGGAGCTAGATAGGCAATGTGGCCAATGCACATATCTGAATAGCCTGCTTCTGTATCACTGATCCAAAATCACTGGCATTATCAGATCTCTCTACTCCATTTTTTGTTAACTAAACCTGAACTGGAAGATATACTAAGGGACTCAGCTACAAGCAAACAAACTGGTTTAGGAAATGGAGTATTTGCCTTCTAACAGCTTATTGCTGTTAGCCTTTACAAATGGCATCCCTTAATACTTCACGTCTCAACTAGGTCAAGACATCTCAGTATCACAATGTTTTGCTTATCATCAACTGTACACTTTTCCAAAGACAACAGAACATTTTCAGTGTTTAAAAGAAGTAAGGTTAATATTAATTTCATAGCAGAAACMGAAATCCTTACTTCCTCGTCCACTTTATCTTGACTGGATCTTTCCTCCTCTGTTCTTTTTGATGCTATTTCCATTGCCTAAAGAAATACAAAACAATACAGAAAATTTATCACTCTTTAGAATCGCACCACTAAGTCTTTAGAATCACATCCAACTATTCCCATCTGCGTTTCTATCTGGACTCCAGTGCCATTCACACGCACTCCAGCTTTCCCTATGGGAATGCCTCCAGCGACACCTAATGGCAACCAGCAGTGCTGTGAAGCACACTTACAGCGGCAGATTGGGGCCATTGACAGGGAAAACACACTTGCTGCTCTCCCAAACCGTGGCAGGCCTAGATGGCTACAGGACATACAACACCGTTCTCCATGTAAGCATGGTTATATTTCTGCAGAGCTTCTTGCCAGAAAGAAGGAGCTAACTGAAAGCATCCTGATTTTTACAGCACCTCRGACATTTGAGTCTTCATGTATAGACTTTTTGAGAAAACATGCAATAAAAGTAGTGTCACCCCAGTGGTATAAATGGAAAAGACCTATGTGCAATTCTGAAGCATTAATACCACAATGTCATGTGCTCACTTCCTTATAGTAGGATGTAGAGTAAATGAGAAGGAGAAGCTTGAACTAGATCTGATTTTATTGTCTCCCTACTAAGCAACAAGGCCATGAGGTCTTACCTTAGACAGGTAGTCATCAATGTTCTCACTTGTGATAGAAGGATCAGTAATAAACTCAAACAGCTCCCTCACAGTCATCACTGCAACATTGTGCTTCTGGAAAAAGTCTGCCAGGAAACAAGGGCAGAGACAAAACACATAAATAAATACATTTAACAGACGCAGTTCTGATGTTAAAGTGACAATTCCAGCCAGCCAGTAACTCTGATAGCTTGGGAAAGTCCTGGCAGCATTTCTACATCATATTGAGTTTAGTTATCAGATGCTTGGCCACTTGAAATGAAACGGTTCATCTTTCAGATGCGAGAAAAACTGCATAGAAAATATAAAAACCAAATCAATTTCAGCAGGATCCTAATTTAATGGAGTAGGGGCTAAGAAGTGAAGAATTTAACACAGGTATAGTATTTGCAACAACTAAGATGAAAAGAAAATGTGTTTCAAATRAGGAATGAAGATGTCAAACTTTTACCAGAGAGAAACAAGTGTCTACTGAAATACAGTACAGCCTAATTATGATTCACCCAAAAGGGAAGACACATTAATATCCTAGAATTTTCCTCACTACACTCAGAATTGATTTCTTAAAGCAACTATGACCAAATTTGGAGGCTGTATTTCTGTTCTGAAAAACAGCAGCAAGTGGCACTGTGRACTCTAATAAGTATTTCCTACTAAAATTCCCAGAAGATCTCTCACTGTGAGAAATTAATCATGGAAAGAGTAAATGTTACTTTGTTTGGAGGCAGCTCTCCATGCCCGTGGAACCACAAGCCTCTGTAAAGATCACTCCCAGGGCAGAAACAAGAGTTTCTTCAAGTTTCTGCAGGAGGACCAGACGCAGAAAGTCGCAGTGACAGAAAATAAGCAAAACAACACCAAAACTACTGCAACTCACTGAGACTCACCTAGAACATCTAGGGAGAGCAAGTCAAAAGATAAATAAAGCAAGTGTGCAACTAGCTGAGCCAGAAGGGAGTTACTAGAAATTAATGAACTGAAATAAGGAAAAACTAGCATACTGGACATCAAAAGATACAGAGCATCAAAATGCACACAGTTTTTCACCCACACTTCCAAAACTCTCTGTAAAATAAGGAAAAAGTCAACCTGAAAAGAAAGGGGMGACAAAAGCAGCCTGTGAGGAGAAATTTCTTTGTCCTCAGGGACACACCCTACCAGGAGGTGGGGATCTGTTACAAAACGTATATTCACACATRAAGACCAAATCCTCAAGAGAAAAACACCATTAAACTTCACTTGTTTATCAAAATACTACAAGTGATAACATCTCTAATTAATTACTCTATGCCTTGATCCTCTCAGCTGCCCTTAACAACTAAGTACAGTGAACTTTATAACGTACAGAAACTTCTTACCAGCCGAGGAATTCCAGATATGGATTCAACTCACAGAAGGGAATAATCAGTATGTCTGCACAGTATTTTAAGTAAGGGAAGTTAAGACTGGGGTGGGCACTGCTGCAGACTGGGACTGATTTTAGATCTATCCTGAGATTCAGCCATGTGACTCATTTCAGACTGATAATTTCTAGAAAAACAGGCAGCACTCTTCTGAACTCCGCACAGTACACTGCTCCCTCAGGAAGTCATGAGAACATAGGACAGGAAGTATTTTAATGGAATTTTGACAGATTCTACAGTCAATTATATTTGAAAGAACGTTAGGTGAACCGAGTTCACCTTGCCAAATAAACCAGTTGTCAGAACAAGAGCTGAAGTGCAGCCCTCACCGTTAACATTGGCACAATCCTTCCGCAGGAACTCCAGCGCGTGAGGGTGGTCGTGCTCCACGGACTGAGACACATCAATGATGTACACATCCCCACCRTGGTACCTGCAAGAAAACCCCACACATGGCTGCACTGACTCCACCAGATACTGAGGGGCAGGCAACAAAGCATGCTTCAAACCTAAGAACCARCAYAAACAATYTTCACTTCTTTCTCTAGCATACATMTARCAYRTAAAGCTCAGAGTGGCTTTTTTCAGTCAATCCTTTCCCTCCTCTACACAAGCTGTATAATTAAACTTTTTTTAAAAATGGTCTTTGTTTGCCTGTTGRGTTTTTTTAACAGAGAAAGCTCAGATCTGGGTTAAAAGCTACATAATTAATTAGACAAGTTACAAAACCCAGTAACAACAGGGACCCCACCCTCCCTGACAGGTACATCAGTAGTCTCACACAGACGTTGCCAATGCATRCATTTTAGATGTCACAATTCTGAGCAAGGATTACAAACATACAGCATATTAAATTCACTGAGATCTGCATGAACAAGTCTGGCATCTTGGTACATTCTTCTCATGTACTGGATGATTTGTAAGTACAGCTCCCGGACTTTGGAGTCAGATAACTGAGCATTCTTCAGCAGAGGAGCAGGCCTTGAAATTACAAAACAAATAACAGAAAGTAAATACTTTTATTCCTTCTTCATACCAGCTGCAAATGCTTCAACTGCTGCTTTAATCCAGYCCCTGAGTATGTCAAGCAAGTCAGCATGAGCAGCCATGTGGAAGGAACCAGCAGCAAAGGCAGCAAAACTTTGTTACATGCTTGCCAATGATACTGGAGCTCAATAYATTTCCAAAGGGAGCTCAATTGGATCACGCTACATTAATGTCTGCACTACAAAACAATGAGCTGTCTTCATGTATGATTAGCAAGCCTTTCCAGCATTAATCTCTGGAATAAAATTAATTCCACTTTATTATGAATTAATTTTGCATGCAATTGAGGCTTCAGAATGGCACAGATTGCCTGCAATAGTAGCTGAAAAATGTCTCAAACCATTCCATAGGTCACATGCACATGTTAACTTTACAGACCTAAAGTAACTGTAGATAAATTCAGAGGGGTGGTTTGTTTGGTTTTAATAAACTTTTGGGAAAAGCTATTATTGAATAATAATAAAAAAAAAAACAAACAAGCTAACCAAAAAGTTTATTTTCTAAGGATACTTACCTATCACCTTTACCAATAAAGCCCATGACAAGCACATGACTCCTTAGCATAATTGGCTCTGGGCAAGGTATCTGGGCCGTATTCAACCTGAAACATAGGAACAAAGCCACAAAAAAAAAAAAAATAAAACCAAACTCTATTTGCTTCGTACTAGTGCATAAAGGAGCTTTGTAGCTTTGAATGTAACACACAGGGAGAGCTCAGGAAACTCTTGCTCGTGAAGAATAACTAGGAAATGCACACAAAAAGCCACAACCATTCTGACCCTTTTCTAAGCCTTCTAGTGTGAAAGAATCTTYACACAGTTCAGGTTAATCCTAGATTAACCTATATCACACAGCGTGCTGCTGCTCAGCAGCAGATATTTCTAGCTTTTCTTTGCTGTTCAGTCATGTCAGAGAGAGTTCAGACATTGAAGAGCTTAGAGCATTAGCAGCAAAACAAAAGAAGATCTTTACTCTTCCTTCCCCTTTTGTTTCCCTCCCAGAGTGAAATTTAAGACACGTTCTTGAACACTCCAGAGACCCTAAAGGATAGTGATAGCCACAGCCTAGCAATAAGAGAGTACCTCCTATAAACATGAAAGTTTCAATGTCTGCATGATGAAATAAAAGCTGGAAGAATCACCTTATTAAATTCCTCATTTCTTTTTCAGCCCACGTCTTCACCATTTTTCTTGGGTTGCCTTTGCAGTATCCATGACGAAATCTTTAAATGTAGAAATAAAAGACAACAGGGACTTTCAGCCTATCAATGCAGCATGAACAGCAGTGATTTTAACACCTTTCAAAACAATTCCTCTTCCCCAGTAAAACCAGGCAGAAATTGAACTCACCTGAATTCACCACTCACATACTTATCCCGATCTTTAAACATCAAAATAGAGGTTTTGTAAATCTTTATTGCTCTGTTCTCTCCATTTGCAGTACTGGCATGATATACATTGGCCTATCAGATTCAAAAGGAAAGAAATAACATTAAGGAAAAGCTCTTTAAAGCAACATAATCTTCTCTCTTCTTCTCATTCTGACACCTGGAAAGATCCGATCTCACCCCAGCCCCTGTGTGGCACCCACCTGAAGGAGACTGCCTACAAGGGCAATCCTTTTGCCATGAAAGGCAGCTTGAAGTACCTAAGACGGGGCAGGGGTGCAACAATGCCCACAGAATAAAATCAACCTAGCACAAGGTAATTCTGCCTCATCCACACTTGGATGACAGAAACAAGCCCTTAGGTGAAGGGTTAACTTGAACCCGTGCACTATTCAGGTCCKAAAGCGTGGCCCAAATGTCTCATGTTTCCACCTCGACACAGGGTGGAAGTATATCTTTAATCAGAATTACCAGGGTTTGTATGTTTTTTCAGGCACTATTTATTATGTGGGTATATGTAACTTTGCCAAAACTTTTTGTTGAAAGATGCAATTAACAACATCCACAAATTTAAGACAATATTAAAGCTTTCATAGAAATCTTTCATACTTGGGAAAAATTGGTTTCCTTTAAGRTAAGTAATTTTTGTCTTAAGATAACTTCCTGCCTATCAAGCAACACAAAAAATGTAGAACTAAACCCAAGTATTTCACTACATCTTCTGAGAGCCATAAACTCCCACCCAGCTTGCTGAAAAAAAGTCTTCTACATTATCTGCAATAAGACTTACTTCTTTCCCTGTGCTGATGCAGCCATTGATTTCTGATATGATACCTCTAGAGAGCATCTTGAACAGAATTATTCGGGTCCTTGGGTCCAACACCTCAAATTTAATACAGAAAAGTMATCAGAAGACAAAACCTAATAATAGAGTCCAGTCTTAATATCATATTAAAGGACCCTTGGCATCAAACTACTCTCAAGGATAAAATGATAATCTGAACAGTAACCACTCAGAATTTTGCCACGAATCTAGGATGACATTTCACTTTTTCTTCCAAATTTTTTTAATTAAGCATACATCTTTGAGCTAGCTCTAGGAGAGACAGAGAAATAATTTCTCACCCAYAGGTGCATTAAATGTTTAAAAATAATATTTTTCTTGGGATACAGCTACCATAACTGAAATAGAACAGCCATTTGGGCTTAGGCCAGTAACAGTTCAGTCTGGCTAAGAAAAAAAAGAAAAAAGGCAAACTCTGCATTTTTTCTTATTCTTTGGAATTTAATAAAAGCTTAGGATGAAATTCTGCATTGCACATATGAACAAATTACCATGTTAAACACAAAAATAAGCTCTAAAATGTTTATGGAACCAAAGTTCATACATGAAAGAAAGAAACAACAGGTCCCTTGAAGAGAASAAGGGATCCATTCCAAAATACTGTTCCTCCTTAGACTGTTTTATCATAGATTCCAAAATTCTACATTATTTGCTCTGGTCAAAAGGGAAATTTGATAAACAAAGAACTTACCTGTTCTACTGTTGCTCTGTCTGACTTGTCTTTGACGCGGTACCTAGAACAAGTGAAAATAAAATGTTACAATCCCACATACGGGCTCAGAACTTTGACAGAGCAAACAGTAACATTCTGTGTCAAAGACATAATGACAGCCTTAAGAAGTGAGGCTTGAAGTTTACACAAAAGCAAAGATTTCTCCTGTATGCAGAGGGATGGAAAGAAAAAACCCCACAAACAACCACCACCACGATAAACATCACAGCCCTTCACTTTTATAGGCATCTTCTTGCTTCTTCTGAATTATGCTCATTCAGGAGGAAACAACTCAGGACTGTAATCTGCAGGCCAAAAAAAAAATCCTTGAAAAGGAATACTTTTGCCTCACCAAATCATCAGGAGGACCCTTCAAAAGGCCTCCAATACCTTTTTAGCTCAGCTACTTATGGATTTCTGTTTAGAAAAAAAAGTATCAGAGTCTTTTCTAGGGGAATGACACCCATCACTTCTGTCTTACTATACCAATACAATCAGATATGCTATCAGTGACAGAAGAATCAAAATTTTGGGAAGATTTAGGCAACTGATTTGGAAACCAAAATGTTTAAGAGTAAGGGGCAAAGCATATGCAGAYTACTTCTAAACTTCATTTTTCTTAACAAACTTATTTAATTAAGGAAATAAGCACTACACTTCTGGGTTCAAACTATTTAAGAGAAAACAGAACCATAAGTAATACTCACATGTCTGCTTCCTTTTGTCGAGACTTTTCTGTGACTCTGTTTATAACGGAGTCATCAAAATTTAGCTTATCTGAAAAACATGTAATAAGAAATGAAAAAAAAACCCTAAAATCCAAAGAAATTTCCTACACACCAAGGTTAACCTAGCTCTTCACTATGTTCACATTTTAAGGTAGGACTACAAGGTAACAACACATGACTGAGACCAGTTCCACAGACTTCAAAATGTGATGCCAGTAATGTCTTTTGGACAACATCTTGCCATTAAATTTGCTGTTCTTCTCTCACAACAATCAAATGCYATTTTTCTTAACACAATAAGCAACAGCCTCCCAGATTCTTTTCAGCAATGCATTTAAATGGTGTTTGATTTAAGTGAATAAAAGCTGCTAGTATTTGGCTACAAATACCAGCACCCTTCTTTCTAGCACCACTTTTTCAGAAAGGCAAACAAAACCTCTGGTCACTATCCTGTCAAAAGGTGCCAATCACAGCTGCCTCTAGTCCTGACAGGCTGTCTGTTTCCATCTCAGGATAAATATCAAACTACATGGGCTGGGACAGCAGCATCTTCACTGATCACAGAAACTCTGCCCCTGGGAGAAACTTGCTGCAYAATGCACCCCCCTAATACTACAGGGGACCACAATTGGCTAGAAAATGTAGATGTGGTAGCAGCGGTGGGAATAACCAAAATCGCAACAGAGAGCTGATACCYTCATTCCACCCAAACAGCTTGTTCTATAGAGAATCTAGGGAAGAAAGAGTTGTCTGGAGAAGTCAAGGGGAAAGAAAAAAATCCCAGTGAAACAGCCATGTGGTTTTGAAGGTGGAGAAAGAGGCGTATGACAGCCAGTTCATGGAGACTAAAGGCAACTAAGTACACAAAAGCCATTTTTAATCTGTCTGGCAATGGTTAATTCACCTCTTCCAGTGAGTTCTGATTTAACATACACAGAATTAGTTTGAGAATAACACAGGGTGGTAACATTTCATGACAGATGACAATGCAATTATACTCACCTAAATTAATTTTGTGTTCAAATTTCCTTAAAACCTTGCCTGTAGGGGTGGACAGTTTTGCTGAAGAGCAATTAGGAGTCTGTCTATTTGCCTGAAACAAAGGATTTGTCAGCATAAGTCACCTTCTGTACATAGCCCTTTGAAATTCAAAAAATACCATYGAAAAAGTCATCTCAAATGCCTATATACCTAAAGTGATACGAAGAAAACCACAAGTGGTAAGGAAACAGATATGGATTATCACCAGATTTTACCTAAATTAAGAAAATACAAGTAACACATCACTTAAAATTCAAGAAGTGCTCCAAACCAGGGTTTAGTCTAGGAAGCTACAAGTCTCTCATCCAGCACCTTTTCTGTCTGCAACAGGCAGAGAAGACAGAAACAAGGAACAAAATAAGAGAAAAAAAAAAGAGAAAAAAATGCAGAAATAATGAACAGAAAAAACTTTCCAAGAYTCTGTCTTTTCTTACAGGTAGTCCTCTCCGAACGCAACTAAACCTGAACATGATTTCACCAACATTGGACAGCACAAATCTCTAACCAAAGGCAAGAATAAACCATTCAGGAYGCTATGATCAGCACCACTCGGTTTATCTCAATTGTTCTGCTAAGTTGGTATCAGTAAGAAAAACGAGGTTTTAAACATCTAGTGTCCATTGAACTAATGTGAGAACTAGCATCCTTCTTACCTCCATCTGTGCTTTTCACTCTGCACAATGCCAGAGTTTGTATGCCAACACCATACATTCTAAATTAATTCACTTCTAGCATCTCTCATTTCCTATTTTTTTTTTTTTTTTTTTTTTTGCCTCCTTCRCTATTAAGTCAAAAACAGGCTATTTCACCCTGGATAAGACTAGCAGATAGTCATAAAATTAAACAGAAAGGCTGGGGAAGATGCTCAGAAACACAAAGGACAAATACCAGAAAGTAAGGAACATCTGAAGAGATCAGGATGGGCAAAAAAAACCGTTGAGAAAGGTAAGGAACAGAAGGAAACTGCAGTGACAAAGAGAATCCAGCAACTAGGTTTGAGACAAGAAAATCAAATGGAGCTCTGGTTGCAATGTACATACACATGTGGCATGTCACAGGAACAGACTCAAAGGAAGGGGATTTTCTCAAGGCAAAAATTTTGCTTGCATTTATGCTCAACAAAACACTTCTACAAAGAACAAAGCCTTCAGGTTAGCCCCATCTGCTCTTGGACATCGTCGAGGCTCACAGAATAACCTTCAACATACCTGTGGATTGCATCCACCAGCAGCACTGTGGCGCTTTGTGAGTCTTCCCACCTCATCATCCCAGTCCCAGTCATCATCCTCCTCTTCATCGTCGTTGTCATCACCACCATCCCYTTCCTCAGCATTAACTTCTTCACRCTTGCATAACTGGCAGTTCTCAGGGGCCTCACCCTCTTTATATGTTTCTGTGCCTTCTGTAGAGTCACTGAAAAGAAACACAGATGTCTCTTAACTAAAAACAATGTTACARTCACCAGAAGTTAAATACATTTATCCCAACAAACCATTGTACATTTTCACTCATGTTTTAATTCACTGTGTCCAATWCTAAGACCCTCCATTCATGAATAACACTGAGATGCTGGGATCAGGTCCAGAAAAGGGAAATGAAGGTGGGGAAGTGTCTGGAGCACAAGGTGAAGCAGCTGAGAGAGCTGGGGGTGATTARYCTGGAGGAAAGGAGGCTCAAGGGGGATCTCATCATTTTCTACAACTGCCTGAAAGGAGGRTGTAGCCAGSTGGGGGTSGGTCTCTTCTCGCAGCTGACAAGTAGCAGAACAGGAAACCAYAGCCTAAACTKGCACCAGAGAAGGTTTAGATCAGCCATTTAGAAGAATTTCTTCACAGAAAGGGTGATTAGACAATAGAACGTCTTGCCCACGGACATGGTAGAGTCACCGTCCCTGGAGGTGTTCAAGGAAAGACTGGACGCGGCATTAAGTGCCATGGTCTAGTTGGCACCGTGCTGCTGGRTCACAGGTTGGACTGGATGATCTCAGAGGCCTTTTTCAACTTAACTATGATTCTGTAACGTCAGTAGTGTGTCACGGTTTTCTGCCAGGACAAGTGTGTCCCAAAGCAGCACACCTAATGGAAAAGGGAAGCCGAGGAATACACGCCGCCTTTGCTCTCACCTCCTCCTGTAACCGGGCAGCAGCACCCGCTCTCCCTTCCCCGCTGCCGGGCGAGTCCCAAGGCTGCTCCCGCTCCGCTCCGCTCCGCGTGTTCGCCCGAGGCCCGGCCCCTCCAGCACCCCCGGCCCCTGCAGCACCCTCACCTGTCCGAGCAGTCCGCATCGTCGAACTGCCCGGGCACGACCTGGCTCATCACCAGCGCTCGGTAATCCATGGCGGTGCCGGCGGCGGGCACAGGCAGCACCCAGGAGCCGGGAATCAGGAGCCGGGAATCAGGAACCGGCAATCAGGAGCCGGGATGCCCGCGGGACGCAGGCGCCGGCCCGGCCCGGCCCGGCCCAGCCGCTACGGCACCGCCAGAGGGACAAAAAGCACCGCGGGCGAGCGCGGCTGGGACGGGCCCGCCCCGGCTCCGATCCTCCCCTCAGCTCCGATCCCCGCCCCGGCTCCGATCCCCGCTCAGCTCCGATCCCCGCCTCAGCTCCGATCCCCGCCTCGGCTCCGATCCCCGCCTCGGCTCCGATCCCCGCTCAGCTCCGATCCCCGCTCAGCTCCGATCC